TTTTGTCCTGCGCACGAGATATGAATCTCTAAATCTCCTTCATTTATCAATTACTAAGCGAAACGTTTACCATCTTTTTCTCTCGAAAACATCTTTTTACCACCCGGCTAGCAAAGTAACGAAGATGCTTGATATCCAAGTCTCACTAACTGATTGCTTTCCTCTTGTTCTTTTAGAACTCCTCTGATCCTTCCACTTTCAACTGTACCACCACGCAAGAACGAATTTGCTCGGATGCACAGAGCAGATTGCCCTCATTGCCTGTTAAGGTCACCATCAACTCCTGCCAAGCAAGGTGCTGCGATACAAATAACTGTAACGTACAGGAACTGATCGACCAGCCACCAGCAACTGGAGGCCCAACCAGTGTAGGCCCAACCACTGAAGCCCCAACAAGTGTGGGCCCAACCGCTGAAAGCGGAGTGGGAAAAATTCAGTCGCTTCCTCTTCTCGTTTCTTTCCTGATTTTCTTGACATTCTGCTGGTTTAAACAGCTTGAGTAACGTTAATGATTTGGCATTGACCGCAGACTATTTTTTTGTTGGCAAAGTTGTTTTGTTGTTGTTGTTGTTGTTGTTACTAAAAGAAAAAATGATTGACCAGCGTATTATCTTCTGGCAGTGTCCATGACGGTGTCAGAACTAACACTAGCTAGTAACGGAAAAATAAGTTACAAAAACTTCATGAGCTTATGGGGTGTTTCTTGGAGGTGCGGAAGCTATTGATAGGAAGCTCTAGTGCTGTATTGTGACAGGGGCACCCAACGTCAATTTTCGGAAAATATCTGTTCGGAAGACGATTCGAGATCTGGAAATTTTCGGAACATTTGTTGTAAAATTTCTTGCTTGCCTTCCTCTCCTAGGATTTTCGAACATCTAAAAAATGGTATAATTGCCCATTTTAAAGGGATTTTTACCCTAAAAAGGTCACCTAGAATTTTCAGGAGCCTTTTTTCTGGCTGAAATTTTCGAAAAGCTAAGTTTTGATCCTTATAATTTTCGAATCACTAGATTTTCAGCTACGAAATCCGAACAAATGAAAAATTTTTAGGGGATAAAAATATGCCCATATCTACCGTTTCAATACCAAAATACGCTTTACAATGCTATGTTTAAGTGGTTTTGAACTATGTTCTCGTTGAGTGTCCCTATTGTGAGCATTGTGCAGAGTCTTTACAGTCTTTTTTTTCCCGTCAATTGTCGTTACTCAACAACAGGAAACTACCCATTTACATTTTCGAGCCACTAAATTTTAATGGCTCGACGTGCGACACTATCTGTGAGATCAGCTACTAGGAATAGCCCGCGAGCAGGCTCATTTGAACGAATTCAAGGAAAATTATTATGTCTAATCTAATAACTATGTAAAATGCTAATTACTACAACATTGTACGTCAAGTAAAATTTTATTGAACCTTAAATGTTTACAATATTTTTCTCACTAAAACTCTTCAGTGTACTAAGAACTCTTGCAAGAATTAATTAGGGCCCAGTTCAAACGTCTAACCTTTCAGGTACCAAACCTACATGAAAAGGTCGACGTTTGAATCAACTTATTTGGGTCGAGTGGCTTACATGGGAATTTCGACTGTGGAGCGGCTTCGTTTCAAGCGTCGAACTTCTCATGTGCCGCACGAACCTAAAGCATAAATTATTATAATTTTTTTTTAACTGGTAAGCATTGTGGACCATTGTACATCGTGAAAGTGAATTGAGGCCGACTAATAAATTTTGACGTCTGAATCAAAAATCGAACTTGTATCATCTGGGTCAACCTAAACAGTTCTTTAGTTCGTTCGACGTTTGAACCGGGCCTAAGACTACTATAATGAGATATAATAATAATAATAATAATAATAATAATAATAATAATAATAATAAAGCCTTTACTTATCAAAAGATAAAAATACATATCTTTTGTTACAAGTAAGTATAAGAAATTTTAAAAACGTAAAACGGTAAGAATTAAAAATCTAGTATATTACATAGCTAATTCATGTTTAAAAAAATAAACGGTCAATAAAAGAGTTTTTAAAACGCATAGTATTAATCTTACGTTTAAAACAAGTTTCTTTCCTAAGATTGTAACTGGACGGTTTAACACGTGGCATAATAGATAAAAGTGGATTTTAGCATTAGAAACTTTTCTGACAATTTTACGGTCTTTCCTCTCTGAGAAATCATAAACAATTACAGGCTTAGACGTATATTTACTTTTAAAACAGCGGTCTAAGAAAGGTTGTACAGGTGTAAGGTCAAAATAAGAGTATTAAAAAGGTCTATTTCTGACCGATGAAATTCCTCTTAGCGCAGCTAGCGTTAGCATTCAGATCTGATACGTATCAGACTGTGGTGAATAAAAGAAGTAACAGCCTCAAATGCAAGCGCCTACACTGGTGTACTTCAATAGATTACTGGTTCCTGGGAAATTAACTGACTACCCTCCCCTCCACTAAGTCAGCATTAACACTTCTCACTTAAGGCAAAATTTTGCCCTAGGGAAGGGGTAAGTGGTCAGTTTTCCAAAAACCTAAATTGATCCTAAATCTTCAGTTAAAGTTCCTATCCATATTTTTTTGAATCTATATAGTGTGATAGGTTTGCTATCTCTGGAGTAAAGCAGTTCGCCTTGTAATTGGTCATATGTGAATTTTACTTATACTTGGCCTCGGGGCTAAACCTTAAAGTTTCTACACGTACTGCCGGTAGAACTAATGCAGTCGCTAGTGCACATGACTGCAAAGGAGGAGGTCGCGGTTTCGATCTCCGTGGCAGGAATCAGGGTCTTAAAATAACTGGGAAATGAGAGTAATGCATTTGCCCTGTTTTTGCCCGGCCCTTCGCGCGGATTGAGTGACTATGTAGAAATGGCGGTTATAAAATCAAGGAAAGAAGAAGATAAAGCGGTGAATTTTTTTTCACGAGATTTGTCAAATAAACATCTGAACATTATATTTTAAACTCATAGGACCGGTTATTTAAACGAAGTCTAACTTAGGCCGCGGTCTAAGAAATCATTGAACGTCCAGATATCTCTTCCTTAGTGGGCTAATTTAAGAAAATGAGTGCTTTTCCAGTCTACACAATATGCTTTATTGAAATTGTTCACGACAAATGCGTTGGGCAAACTGAAAATAGCTTAGAACGCAGTTTTGTTAAACACGGGCTAAATCAGGGCTGTCAACTCCCTACGTCTTCAAATATTGAGAATTGATAGGGAAAGGATAATAGATGACCTCATATCGCATGGTATAAGAAGTCATTTGTGCAAGAGATACTCGTTGACCCGAAATCGTCACGATTTTGCGATGTTTAACATTATTGCGTATCTCTTGGTACGCTGCAATAGCATACCATACCGAAGTTTATGAGGAAAGGTTCCATGTTAACAGTAAAATAGCTCAAACAACGCAAAACATTTAAAAGTTTAGGGTCGCAAATTCGAGTCTACAACTGAATGGCAATCTTCGGTGAATATCTGGGAGATTTCATACTCTAATCTGGAGACCGGGAGATACGGTCCAAACTCTGAGTTTCCCGGATTATACGGGGGAGTTGACAGCACGGGGCCTAAACTCCGTTTAAATGACTGGTCCATACTGTTCCAACTGCCTAATGCAAATTAATGAACGTGTGATCAAAAAATATGATTTTACGTGTTGTTGGTGCGTAAAGTGTCTTTGGAATCAACCATCTCTGGAAAGATGCTAGTCAATTACCCTGGCTTCTGAAATAATTCCGAGAATAAGTTTGGGTTTATTGTTTCAAACCAGGAATAAGCTTTACAAAATATGTTAATCACCATCTACAAATGTTTGAACTATGAAAGTTTTGCTAAATACCTTAAAGACATGCACATGCTCACTTTGCGTCAGTCTGTATACTCTTCTAGAAGAGCTAATATTTTATCACTATGTAAACCTGCCACTACTACTTATGGCCTCAACTCTTTTCGTTGCCTTGCATCTAAGAAATGGAACTCCCTACCTAATAATGTGACACCTAATAATGTAACACCTTCTGGTGTTAGAAGACTCCTGAAAGCAATCTCCTTTCAGACATAACGGTATATTTAACATTTTTTATGTATGTATTATATATTTTTATGTATTTACATAGATTTATTTTATGTATGTAAATAGACTTCTTTCTTTTCTTTTTTTTTCTCAAAGACATTACCCTTTCAGGCTACTCTGAAATTCGAGTATAAATAAAGTTCATGTTATGTTATGTTGTTATGTTATAGAAATTTGAAGAATTACTGCTAGGAAACCTGAAGAGCATTATATTTCAAACTGACTACTTATTACAGTATTTGTCCAGCTGATAAAAAAGTAGTAAATAGAGCTGTAATGTCATCAACAACAGTAACATTTGTTTACCTTTAAAGGTGGCTGCTTACTTGATGTACTCATTGCTGGGTATGTGCCGCTGGCCTCTCAGAGCCCCTACCCCATTATAGTCTATTTTGCGACCAGTTACAGACATCTTGGTCACTTTTGCGCGGATGTTATTTTGGAGACCCCAATTTAGGTCTTGAAAATGCAAATTCATTCAGTGGCACATTCCAATTAGCCTCTTGTAAGGAAGTACCCCCCCCTCCCCCCCCCGCACCGGCTGTCTTCACGGGCACACCTCAAGTATTTTTTTACATGACCAAAGGAAAGTTCTACTAAAAAGCGTTTAATTGGATTAATTGGACATTGAGATTTTGAGAATTCGTCTTACGAACATTATCGTTTCTACCGAGTGACTCAAGAAGAATAAAAGACACGTCAGCGCGGCAGTGGAAAGAACTTTTTTCTGACGTAACTATACTGAGCAGCAAGTAGTGAAACTAAAAGAGCTGTCCTCAGTCGAGGAAGTTACTAAAATAACGCAAGCACAGTATTCTTTAGTGTGTGGTTGGTCGCCTTATTTTGCTCACTGAATGGTGTTTATTTTTAGTCATTGGGAAACAGGTCGACACACCCGGACGGCTGAAATACGACTGCGTTCACAGGCTAGTTTACGGGCTCGTTATTCAAAACATGCATCTACCAGAATATACTTTAAAATTAATAAAAGTTACTTCCTTTTGCATTTTTAAATTTAAGTATTCCCGTAAGAAGGTTGAAAATGGGTGTAATTTGCACAAGGAACTAAAACAGTGTGAAGAATTCAAGTAGCGGTAGGAAAATGACGTCATCGAGGTGAACAATAATCGCTTATTACCGGAGCTGATATATGGCTAATTGATGAGTTGAAATCTGTAAAACATGCATGTTTATAACATAGATAGCGAGCGCGCGAGCGTGCTTCGTTTAACAAATCGGCCGGTCTACACTCTAAAAGACCATAGAAATGATTTCATAAAATATTCAAAACCCAAGTGGAACCACGAGCCGTAGGCGAGTGGTTTCACTGCAAAGTTTTGAACAAGTGTACACAATGGAAGATTGTGGTGGATTTGTTTTTTACAAAAACATTTATTTTTAGCTTCCTGCGAAATTTCTCGGAAAATGTTACGTCATTTCCATGGTCCATACTCTCATAGACCTTAGCTCTCGACCAATCAGCGCCCGAGGATTCGCTCAGTTATAGTAAAAATTCCCATTGAGCACGCTGATGACATCAATAAACTATACCTCGAATTCTTGTGAGCTTAGCAACCCTCCCATTACGTCTCCCAAGTGCATCCATAACTCAACAGTACACGATGAAGCGAAAACAATGTGTTTTATAACGTAAATTTAAGATACAACTTTTGAATTTGTTAACCGATAGCAGGAAAAAGAGGTGAGCGGCAGGATTAGCTCAGTCGGTAGAGCGCTTGACTGCAGAGCGGGAGGTCGCGGTTTCGATTCCCGAGGCCGGACCAATACTAAGGGTCCTAAAATGACCGAGAAATGAAGGCACTTCCTTTGCCCTGCAGGCGGCTAGATCCTCGCGTGACTCGGATGACCACGTAAAATGTCAGTCCCGTAGCCATTAGGAGACGTAAAATATAGTGTCCCCAATTAGCACTTTCGTGCTAAATACATTGACACTCAAATAAAGTGCATTTTTCTTTTTGCTTCTTGCGGTTGTTGTGAGTCATCTGCTTGAGCTGCGGGCTATGACGTGTGCAATTCATTCTTTGAAAAGTTATTTCGGTGAATTAATAGTTTTCTGTCACCTCAATATGAATTTTACAATCCTTTTTAATGTTACCTTAAGCGACTTGAGTAAACTTTCTCTCAGTTTCAACACAAAAACATAAAAGTGAGGTCAAAAAATATAGTCATGTAGACATTGACGCGTACTGCTTAGAGTGTACGCTACAATAATACAAATTTAAGTGAACTGCTGCATTGATCGATTTCATAATGTTATAAAACAATTAGTTCATGCTTCAGCGGTGCGTATGTCGAGATATTGAGCACTTGGGAAGTTTGGAGAGCACTCAAGAGGCTAGAGTAGCCCTCGTCCGCGCCTCGAGCAACTCTTACACCTCTTTGCTCTCCACACTTCCCGCGAGCTCAATATCTCGATACGCACGCTGACGAATGAACTACTTGTTTAAAAATGACAGCAAAATTCAAGCAAGTTCATTACTTGTTCCTTAACGTGTCTCACTAGTCTCAGTATAGAGTGGGCAAGTACTGTCAGACTGGTGACACTGAAATATCCTGCGCACCGCTAGGACTGGTATGTCCGTAGTTTAGCATTTTCGCATTGATATATCAGTAATCACGAGAGGAAGTCTACACTGATCGTGCGGAACAGGAAGTAACCAGTAATCATTGATTTTTTGTATTATTTTATATACTCAGCATGCAAAGAAAGTCGTGTCCGATAGCCCGGGGCCAGTAGATTTTGCTGTCGGGCTAGTGATTTTTGTTCTTAGCTGGCCGACGGGCAAGAGCTGTTTAATTACAGAAGGATTGTAATCAATCCTGCTAATCAAAAAGGGTTTGGGGGCTAGTTGACTTGTGTGCTAGTACATGCTATCTACAGCTTGCCCGAATGGCAGGCTGTAAAACTGACTTTCTTTGCATCCCGATACTGTAACCGTGTATTCTATCCTCACTTAGCTTTTCCAGCCCCTGATGAAGACTAGTTTTGTCTAGTCGAAATATTGGGCAAATATATTTGTACGCCTTAGCTGTCCGATCAGCCTTGCCTTTAATTTTAAGTATCATTGATATATGCAGCTGTCGATGACAGAGACAGCGAATCGTTATTAAGACGCTTGGATTTGTCACGTTCATATTTTAAGGTTACCAAGTCAGTTGAAACTGGGAGAAAGGTAACTCCTGTTGGGTCCAGTGTAGCTACGCGCCATCTCAAGAGTGACGTGGATCGAGCTAACCGAGGCTACTCGACCAGTGCAACATGTCGAATCGTTTTGCGTTTGTCTTTGTTGGTTTGGCACTATGCACCTTCCAAAGCGGTAGGTACTGCTTGTAAATTTCTTGCAGTTTTTTAATTTAGTCGATTTGGCTTTTAGGGTTAGAAGAGCCGCTACATTGATTTCTCT